CGCCGCCGCCGGTGCGGCTCAAGAGGAGCTCCCGGGCGGCTTCAGTCTAACGCCGGCCGACTACGTCCGCAACGCGCCCCACGCGTCAAAGGACACGGCGGCGACCGGGGGGGGACCGACGACGGCGCCTGTACACACTGCTCCGTCGACTGCCACCGCGCCCCCCGGGCAGCAGTGGGTGAATTCCGCGGGGCCCCTTGTCCCCTCCCCCTCTCCCTCCCCGACCCCTAGCGCCCCCCCGGCCGACGGGCAAGCGGTTGGGCCCGCTTCTGCTGTCGACCTAGAGCGAGGGATGACGAGCCCTTGGCAAGGGCCGGGCGATGCGGAGGGGGACGCGGCGACGGCGGCGGTAGCGACGACGGTTGGGGTCGCGCCGCCGCCTGGTTTGACGGGTGTTGGCCGGGCCCCGGAAGCAGTTGGCGCCGGAGCGGTCTCGGGAGGGGGCGGAGGTGTCCTTGGCAAGGCGAAGCGGGGAGTTCCCGCGGCGCGGCCGGAGGGGTTGACGGGGGCGCCGGAGAGAGGCCAGGGCGTGCCGCAGCGGCAACGGCAGCCGCTGCTGCAGCAGCAGCAGCTGCAACAGCGAGCGAAAGTAGAGGGCTTGGCTCAGGGTCAGGTGTTGTCGGCGTCGCCCGTGACAGCAGAGCCGTTGGCACAGCAGGTGACGTACCGTGGTACTACCGTAGCCGGTAAAGAAGAGTGACGGTTTCAATGGTTTCAATCGTTTTAAAGGTGTGAGAAACGCAGCACGCGGCAACGTGTCCTTGGCTGCCGTGCTGTAGTCAACGTTCCGCCCATCACCTCCTTCAGGGTTGTTGTCACTACGTGTTTGGTCTGGCACCTTTGTGTACGACACGGCAGTCTTCTGTGCGATTGAAGCTGTTCGCTGGACATGAGTGTCAACGGAGGTTTGGAATGGGCCGTTGCAGACAGGTTTCCGCCAATAAGAGGTAGAGGTACAACAGTGTTCTCTGCCGGTGGTGCATGAAAAAACATCTCCGGGGTACCCCCCCACCCCCCGCCCCACATGTTGCAGACTTGTCTTCTGAGAACACATGATAGTACCCTCCAGCTACCCCTGTATTGGAAACAGTGCGCCGTCAATGGCCAACTTGCTCAAGAGAATCAATTCTCGTCAACCGCCGTTGTTGTTGCGTTTGGATGTGTTATCTGTGTCGCTTCAGGCCTCTGTTCCGGTTTGCCCTTCCCCCACGGCGGGAACGAGCGATGCCGCCATCGACAACGGAGAGGTATCCACCGGGCGCGTCGGATCAGTGTCAGGGGGCACGAAGGCTGGTACCAGCGGGAAGGGGGGGAACGGACGGAATCGCGCATCGGGCTCGCGTTCACGGGGAGGACGGAAGGGGGAGGCTAGGCACGATGAGAGGCAAGCACACGCGGTGCCACCGACAGGGGTCAAGGAAGGTGGTAACGTCGGCGGCGGTGGAAGTCGCGGTGGTGTGGTAGCGACGCCCCCGCCGGCACAGCAGCAACAGGCCCAAGAGCTTGCCAAGAAGGGGGGGAGGGGTCAGCAACAGCGGCGCCAACGGGAGCAGCAGCAGCAGCAGCAGCAGCAGCAGCAGCAGCAGCAGCCGCAGCCCCCGCCGAAAGGTAAATCGAGCGCCAAGCCTCAGCAGCCGTCGTCAACGACAACAGCAACAGCAACAACCCCCGCGAAAGCAAAGAAGAAAGCCCCGGCTATTGTGGTCGAGACCCCGGTGTCCGGAGCCTGGGCGGACGAGATACCTTCCCCCACACCGCAAAGACAGCGACAGCAGCAGCAGCAGCAGCAGCAGCGGTCGAATGGTGGTGGGAGGAATCGCCAATCATCTCACCAGCACAAGTACCCCGCCGTCTCGAATGGGCAGCAGCACCAGCACCAGCAGCACCAGCAGCACCAGCACCAGTACCAGCAGCACCAGCCTGTCGCTAACGGGCAGCACGGGGAACGCGGTGGTGGCGGTGACAGCGTGGCGGCTCCCTTCCACGAGGCAAGCGTTGGCTTGCGCGACAACAGCACCAGTCAGCAGCAGCAGCAGCAGCAGCAGCAGCAAGCCGGGAAGGCTCACCAGAGGCACCAGCAGCCGCCCAAAGGACGCGGCAGCGCCTTGAACGGTGGTGCCGGGCGGTCCAACAACGGTGGCGGTAACGGTGGCGGCGGTGGCCAGCCGGGGCAGGGGGCGGGGAGAAAAGGGGGGGGAAGGGGTAGCACCTCTGCCGCCAGCCGGCGTAAGAACGGGGGCGGGGGCGGTGGAAACGGAGGTCGGGGTGCGTCCCAGCAGCAGCAGCAACAGCAGCAGCAGGGTGCGCAACGGTCGTAGTAGAAGTGCGGCGAGAGCACGAGATGAAACTAGATAGAAGGAGAAGAGCCAGCTAATTCTGCGGTTCGCTTTGGAGGGGGGTCGGGAAGCATCACTGTGGGGTTTATGTAGCGCAGGCGTGTAGACGAGGGAGAGTTGGAAGAGAGAGAGGGAGAGACGAAGATGCAGATCGCAATTCTGTCCTCCTGACCGATTCCGGCCCAAGTTGTGTGCACACTGCTTCTGCACCAGCCCAAGTAGATCAGACTGGCTGCAGCCATACGTAGCTCTCATGTTTTCTGATAAAGACTGACTGCTGTGCAGCGAATTTCTAGTGAGAGCGCAAGCAACAACAGTAGCAGCAGTATGCGTGGCGGCGTGCGTTGCTGAATGACTCGTCAGCGCACGCCGACCTCAAGGGTGGCTGATAGGCAGTCCCTGTCCCGACCGCTTAGCCTAGCTTTCGCTTGCTTGGTGGAGTGGTTTCTCTGACCAAATTTTCATGTTGTGTTGTCGAAGCGAGTGGTGTATTGCTGTCGGGTGTACCGGTTTGGTCGGCGAAAGAAGGAAAGGAAGCAACAAGATTTTTTTTTTTTTCTTGTAGTATATACGACAGGTGTGGAGGCGTGTTTGTCTGTCATGCCCTCGGGTGAAATGGTGTGTTTATAAAACTTTGGTGCACCGAATGCTTTTAAAGCTTTCTGGCCGCGCGTGTGGCTACACAAGCGCGTTCTTTCCGCAGGGCTGGTGTTGCCGGCTGTGCTTGGTACAAACGGTACAAAGTGGTCCCATGCACGCCCATGCACGCCTTGGTCAATGCTATTACAACGTGTGCAAGGCTTTTCATCCATAGGCTGCACGCTGACCTATGGTGCAAAGGTATTCCACGCGATATGATTTAGTATTAGTGCCGGACAAGTATGCTCGGTCAAGGCAAGGAATGATTTAGTCTGGAGAGGTCCACCACGCAGGCTGTGGTTTGTGGTCTGTCTTGCTCTTGCTACAGTAGTACACGAAAAAAAAAAAGAGCTCTGTGGGGCTACGCCTTCATTTGGCACTTTTAAGCAAAGGCGTTTCGGCGAGTTCGGGCGAAAGCAGCGTGTCTCGTCTTGTCTTGTCTTGATTCACACCAAGTCTAGTCTGCACACCTATTTTACTTTTGCTGAAGGTAGGAATGGGGGGTCGTCGCCTGCTGCGGTCGTCCATCCACGCACCCAGCAGGTCCCGAGCCAAGCTGGATGGAGTGTTTTGTGTTGCCAGATTGATGTAAACCTTCAGATAGGTAGGCAAGATTGTTTGTTTAGCAGCCATCAGGAAGTCAGTGCGGGTCGGTTGCAGTCGGGTACTCTTAAGCCACGCCAAGTTTTTGACGGGGCACAGCGTGTTCTGCCCCCCCGTCCCCTCAAGAAAACATACCACGGGGCCGTGGTAAGCCATCTGCGTACTACTCGGAGTATGAAGAACAACTGTCTTCGACATGCCGAGGTTACCAACGTCCCCTTTCGTAATTTAATGGTTAGTTAAAACCAAAAGACAGATTTTTTCTTTTGTCAGCAATCACACGCGGAAAAGAGGCGAGTTTGGGTGTGTGGGAGGTGATTCGTTTGATTATTGTTGAGCCATCCTTATTAACCTTTACATTTGAAGTCTTCCAAAGAATGAAACCGATGAAGTTTGTGTTTGCTTTCTCTGTGTCGCTGTTTTTTTTTCGGTCGGCTTGCCTCCTGTTGGTGTATTGTGTGTCTGCTGTACGTGGTGTTTGAAGTTGACGGTGACCACACTTGCTAGTTGCGTCGAGTCTTGAACGACGGCAGTCAGTCGGTGGCCGAACTAGATTGTGCAAGACTTTTATTTGATGCGCAGATAATTTTGTTCCATCAATCAGAGGATACCAGTTTTGCGTGAATATCTACGTGGTCTCGTAGTTTTGGCGGGCACCGACGTTGACGACGATACAACAGGGGCGTGTAGGGTATGAATATAGCATAGTGATGAGGTAGAAATCTATTCATTTTTGTTGTAGAGGCGGGGGGTCTGCGGACGGTACCAAATCTGGGTATGGGTCTATCGCCCTCTGATGGAGTGATGTTAGAAGTTCACTTTCAATGAACGAGAGAAAAATCGTGCAATCATTGGATGACTGGATCATCATCCCTTGGAGCTAGAGGATGGAACGGATCGAGATCCGCTTCGACAACCTTGAAACAAACACGTCAACCTAAAACGGTGACGGTGATGGCAAAACTGAGCCTTGACTCGCCCACGCAGGGCTAGAAGGCGTTCCGTGCAATGGAGGATCATTTCCAAGGACAGACCTGACTACTCCTTATGTTTTAAACCAAGTCCAACAACGGAAAAACGCCATATTGCAAATGTTTCTATCTTGTAGCTGAGTGTCAGCATCACCACCGTCTCGAAATCGAATGTCAATTTGTATTATCTCGAAATCAAACGCATGGCACGACGGTCGCGACCAGTAGAAGGCCTTGGGAGGACGGCACTCACCCCCCCCCTTCTCCTTGAACCCAGCCAGACACTATAGTAGTCTGCCAAATGTTGAGTGAAGTAGAAATAGATTTCAGCATGTACAAATCCTCCCCCATACATGGTCAACAAAGGCATCGAGCGCAGTCTATGCGAAAATCTCCACAAGAACAACTCTCGACAAACAGCAGGCCAGCCAATAATCTACAGTCAGTCAAGATTGGAGAGCGTACCAAGAAATTTCTAGCCTTCCTCCTCTTTCTACTTTCAAAGAAGCGCCCGCATGCTGCTTATTTTCTCTTGTCGTGCGTGCTTCCCACGTGTTCCTCCGGGTGGGGCGGCCGCCTTTATTTTCTCCAACGCCAAACCGAACCAACCAACCAAAGGCCAGGGTGCCAGGACCACTCCGAACGAAAGCCTGCAGTACTTGCCGCAGAAAAAAAATCGTTTTCCAAACAACCAAGACACGCGACTACTTACTAGGAGGCTGACGACCACCCCATGACTATTATGAGTGTATTGGTACACTCAAAAAACGAAGACAACGGTGTACTTGTAGAGATGCCAGCACGGTCAAGAATAACCCGTTGAGTAACAACTGCTGCCCGCCTTTGCGAGGGGGCTCAAGACACCTCGACCGCACGCAACAGCCGCCCCTTACTGCATATCGATATCGATCCAGAGGATACAGCAGTAGCTGAGGGACAAGGGCAGAAGGAGCAGTCCTCGACCATGGTTTCGTGCACGTCGCAGCGACACGATACTAACGCGTGACATGCACACAGGCAAAACTAGTGACACCTGGCTGCGTCATACCGACCCCTCCCTTTTCCTGTGATAGACCTGTGTGACATCTCCGCACCTCCGTGGCCAACCTTGTATTGTATACTACGGCGACCCCAAATTCTCGGGAAAAAGGTTGAAAAAACTAAAACTCCCCACTGCAGTGCTGCATGCAGCATGGACTGTCGGCCAAGGCCCCAAGTGTCGGGTCATGGATCATTCCCGTCAATGTACAAAGTGGATCCGAAGCACTCTCTGGTACGGAGGCGAGAGGGCAACACACAAATCGTACAAAGTACACAAAAGAAGAAAACGTTCGGCTCCAACCCTTTCAACTCCGTAATAAATACGGCAAGCGCGGCCAGCGGGAGGTTCAAATAAAGGCTTGCTGGTATCCGTACAAACCTTAACCTTGAGAGTGCCCCACGTCGTACCCAGTATTTTCTAGACACGCTGCACCGCGCCTGCTCCATCGACAAGCGAAACAAATCTCCAGGGCTTGCAAAATCACAAGCATCACAAAACAACGGCAAGCGAACCGAAACAAGCTCTCACGGTACACTACACTACACAAAGAGTTGCAGAGACAGCAACTCTTGCCCTCCTCGCTTCCCTTCCCCGGTGCTGCTATTGTACTGCCGGAGCAAAAATAGCTAGGATCAAATGGCATCAAATCAAATCAAAATCGAATCGATCCACATAACAATCAAGATAACGGTACCATCCCACGACCGCTTCCAAGCATACCATGCTATCCCGCAGGTTCCCATAGCTTCGGCCTATCTCGACACCGCCCGTCCATCTGCGCTCGTCACGACCCCATGGCCAATCTAGCACGAGGGCAAACTTCGTGGCGCAATATTCTCGGCGTTACAGCAGTAAACAGTATATTGTAACGCCTCGGTGTGTAGTGTAGGGTTTACATGGCCATGGGGGCTACGTTTGTGCCGGGGTCCATCTTGTCAGCCAGTTCCTGTTGGTAGGCTTTCTTGGCCTCTTGCTCCAGGACGGGGTCGACTTTTCCAGACACGGGATCGGTCCCGAGAGGCCGCTTGAACAGCAGGATGTGAGGTTCCGGCCTTGAAAAATCGGACAGAAAGTAGTAACGGCAGAAGCAAGAACGTTACATGAAGTGTTTGCGGGCGGTTGGTCGACTAGGAGAGCGTGGGGTCCGCAGCTGAAAATAGCGGCGAAACCACCAGCAGCAGACGGTAGGCAGGCGCCAGACGAAGGTGAATGGCTTGCAACAGCTGCAACAAACGAAGAACTCAGCTGAGCCATATCACACCCAGAGACGGCAAAAAAGAACAGAATCCCTTGTCGCACTGCACTACCCAATGAGGACGCCATCCGCTGCTGGACTTGAAGAGATATTTTTGCGACAGCGAGGAGCCAGTCACAATCTGAAATCTGAACTACTTGGAAGTATGATGCAAAAAAGGACTGCACCGACAATGCATCCCCTATTTGTACGCCTCATGTTACACCTGTGGATTGCGTAGTGCATCCAACCGCGGCTCTGCTGCACCCCAAGACCTCTCCACTCCTGCTCGGTCAGCACCCGAGACTTGGGCAAACCCTTCGCCAGATCCTTGGGGAGGATAACATGCCTGCCCATGCCGGACAAGACGCAAACAAAACTTCATGAATGAGAAAGACGAGCAGGGAGTATCGCTCGCTTCGTGTGTGTCAGGGTAGACATGCACCGCACGGGTGTCATGGATGGACAACAATCGAACAGTAAATACTGATAGTTATCTGCAGAAGCATCCCACATTCTGATATTTCTGCGGGGATTACTTCTAGCAGACCCGTCAGACTGAAATATTCAGCAGCAGCAACAACCCTACCGCCTCTTCACAGGGAGCGTAGAACCAACGCTTCGAAAGTAATTGTTTCGTGATGTATGCTGCTGTAAGTTGCGAAGAAAGCACCCTCTCAGGACAAACACAAGCAAGTCCAAACACGCACGATTGTCATTTGTGAGACTGTTACAGTAGTAGTGGCCCAAGGGGGGTATTGTACCACTGCAAGCTAAGCGGGGGTCATTCAATAGAGAAAAACCAAACTCCAGTAAATAGTAAATACGACGGAGGTCTTGTGTCACTTCCTCATGCACAAGGCGATTCCAATACATGCTGGATTTTTTTTTCCACGCAAGGTAAAAGATTGTAAGATTGAGAGAAGGAAATCTGGGGGTTGCGGAGCGGGACTGAATCGTGCAGTGGCACAGATGTATAAGAAATAAATCGCGGGGAAATTTCAGCGGGGAGAAAGACAAGAAGGGGCGGTGATGACGTAGATGTTCACAGAACGACAGGAGCAGCAACAACAAACTTCACACTGCTGCGGCTGCTGCTGTGAGGCGAAAGGACGATCGACCCGCTGTAGAGCCAGTCGAGTCAGTCCACCAAGCACTACAATGTATTACCAGAAGGTGTGAGGGAGGAACGGGTTCTAGTGACCCTCGCCTAGTTAGTTAGTTGATTGAGCGGGAAAACCCTCCCGCCCTCCCACCCTCCCACCCTCCCACCCGGGGTTTTGCTCGCGGGGGGCTACGGTGGCAAGCTACGGTGTGCCAGCCTGCCGAAGTCTACTACGTGGGGTGTGTGCTTCGAGGGACCTTGGGGGAATACGGTACTTGCGGCATTACTAGGAGTTTACACGCAGGTGGTAAGGTGGTAAGGTGAAGTGGTGGGGTCCACGACACAGAACAAAACTCCAGATTCATGAGCATAACAAAGAATTCAATCTCCTATCGACAGAAAGCTCCGGGGTAAAATAGCAATACGGTGTTTGCGAACATCTGATTTTGGTCTTGTCTTGGTCTTTTTTATCCCCCCGAGCGCCGAAGTCCGATGGATCTTTAGAAATCTGGTCTTTTGCTTTCGCGAATTGCCCCCAAAGACCCGAGAAAAGCTCCGATTTTGTCTTGCTCAGTTTTGTCTTTGAAAGAACAGTTTTTCATTGGCCTACACACCCCGAGATACTCCCTGACCACGGGCCGAGTCTTTGCTAGATTTTGGGATTAGCAACTGACACGAGTTTAATGTGAAGAAAAACAACAACACCAACAACAACTCCCGACGTCCTCCCGACACACGCCGCACCATCCCGTGGAGCTGCCCAAACACACACAACTCGGCTGTCATAGGCGACACCATGGCGAACCAACTACAGCAGTACCACCAGACAGACAGTCAGACAGACGTCACTGCACCGCAGACCCGGTGCGCATTGCATGCTGCCGACATGGTGCAACTTTTGCGTCATCTTAGATGTAAATGTGTGAACCGAAGCAACCGCTCTACATGCATGCTCATGAGCGACACATCATCAAAGAAAGCCGGCCTGAGGAGGGCGAGGCGGTGAGGCGGGCGGCATAGATCTCAGGAGTGCGGCACAGGTGGAGGCGGAGGTGATGGAGTTAGGGATGCTTCAAGCGGCGTGGGAGCGTGAGGAGCTGCAGCACGTGTGTCCTGTGGACCGTGCTGCGGTGATTTGTTTGACGGGGACGATCGACTCCGTCGACGACTGACTGCGATGATGTGTATGACAACTTGTTCGCGTGCTGAAGGGGCACGCACATGCATGCCTCCGCTGTTTGCGGCGCTACGCTTCCCACATGCACTCCCCGCAACTGAACTGGGCCAGCCACCTGTTGTTCATGAGTACGTTGCTCCACCACTATTCTCCATGACATATGACTACTTAGTTAGCTGGGGGTGTGGGTGCAGTTATAGTAGATAGAGTAGTAGTGGCCTTCCTTGTGGGTTAAGGTGGAGGAGGCGGAAGCTCGGAAATACGTATGTTTTGTGTTCTGAGTCGGCTCAACCATCTGTCTGCCGCCGCCGGCAAAGGGGCTCCGTCGTATTGAACGCAAAGTTCTTGAAAATTTCCGCGTGCTCAAGACCGAAAAAATCACGCTCCAGTCTTCGCAAGCAGTTTTGAAATACAATTTCGGTCTTGGTTTTGAACTTGCTTCCGACTTCCAAGACCAAGACCTGAGACCAGTCCGCAAACAGCCTACAATTGTTGAATCCTTACAATACACTTCAACTTTTTCTTCGACAAAAAAAAAAAACTGACATGTTGAAATTGGAAAATTAACATTTGCTTGTTGTACTACATAAGCAAGTACCGTGGCAAAGTGCCATTTACCCACAAGACGTGAGTCAGTCAAGTCACTCTCACATCATGGTTGTTGTTGATGTCTTCACATTAAAAAACCGTTCCGATCTCTCTCTACCCAGTACCTTCATATGTCCGTACTGATCCAACACTTGACGCGGTCCATTCCCGTGGTCTCATCATGGGCGATGCTGGAGTTGGCCTCACGAAAACAACGTCAGATCTGCGCCTGATTGCCTGATTGATTGCTGCTGCCTGCGAGGGTTGGTCGACTTTTTTATCCTACACTGCTGTGCTTGCTTGTTGTAGAATATTAGTCTCCTTATGCTTGTACCAAAAGTGTTGATACTTGCTACATACTGATGGAAGAAGAGAGCTTGTCTTGAAAGTGCTCGGTTTGCAGCAGCAGCACCGCTGCCGAGGGACTTTTCGAGTTTTCTGGCTGTGATGAGATCAGATGATATAAGGTGCATGCATGCCCACGTGCCTACTGTACACCCCACACAACCCTGGACTATGTACATGCACGTGCAGCAGGAACCTGCGTCTCTGCTCGCCAGGTGTTTGCACGCTGTCCTAAAGAGGCAAAGCTCGTGTCCATGACTGGGCTGTTGTCGGCATATATATGTAGCAACAGATCATGTGTGCATACAGGTCGCGAAGACGCCGGCAAATAACCTTGATTGGCCCTTTGAGGAGACTTGCACGTGGGAAAGTATGACAGGACATCATATCGCTCGATAAGATGTCGCTTACACTGCTCCATGGGAATCAGCGCCCGAGGGATGTACCGCGACATGCTGACATACATTATCACCGTCTGTGAACTCGAGATCAATGAGATCCAGCTTGTGCAAATCTTAATCTTAGTCTTGCCTCGAACAAGTTGCTCAATCAAGCACAGACAAGACGCACTATTTGTAGAAAGGCCTGTCTGTCGTGTTAAAACAACACACGAGCCCTCCCCCCGATGTCCCAGTAAATACAGCGGAACCCATTCAGATGCCATAAAAGTTATATAGAGCCAAACGTCAGTAAGCGAGTGGCGCAACAAGATCCAGACATGCCATCTGCCCTTAGTGACTTGTACCCCTGACATCAATATCAAAGCGAGGACGACCATCGGAACATTAATACAATACAACACAGCAGTCGTACTTTCTGCAATTTGTTTTTGGGCTCATGATCGGCGCACCTGTACTCGAAGCTGTCGTCTTGATACTTCTCCGAGTACTCGATGCGGGCAGCCATAACTCCTCGGCACAATAACGCTGGGAGGGCTGGGCTTGCATCATGTCGATCGTCAAGTTCAAGGCACCAACCGCCACAAATTCGTAGTAGCAAGGAAGAGGCGAGAGACCACAGCAGCGGTAAGCGGAGAAAACATCACCGTCAGGAAAATTACCCATCATGGGTGCCAGACGTGCGCCCTATACTAGCTTTACCATACGTGGTCACGCGTCAAACACACCCCAGCACGCTCCGGTCTCTCTGTATGGTGGCAACTTGTGTGGTTAACTTCGCAGTGACGCCAGCTTGTCAGCGTGGGGGCACGCAACTTTCAAACGGCAGGCGCACGAACAAACCTGGTTTCTGACCGATCGATACATACCCCTCTAGTAAAAATCAGAGACGCCCTTCCGAAAACAAAGGTTGTTTGATAGACAAGAGTGCCTTAAATCCCTGGGGGAACCACTTACCACTAGTGGTGTCGGTTAGGGCGGTGTGTGTAGCGCGAGCGAGGAAGAGCGAGAGCGGGCAAGGTCCGTGTGTGTGGTGGAACAGGCAACGAGGCAGGCGCCCCCGCGGCTCCTTCCCCTGGAGGCACGACAGACGATATCAATCACATGGTATACCCATGAATTCGGGGCGCCCCCTCTCGGGGAAGCAAAGAAAGGAGACGACAAGCCAGAAACACAAGGCCTTCACGAGCCAGGCAGCCTCCACGTGACGAGGGGAATTGAATGGACAACAGCGGAGGGGCTGGCAGAGGGATCCGATCGCGCACGACGTCGTGGAGGTAGGGGATCCAGCTGGATCAATCGTCTCTCTTCGAGATTTACTTTTCTTGGCAGCAACCGCGGCGGGCGTGGGCTGGTTCGGAGATACACTCTCAGCTGACCGGTTTCAGTCGACAATCTTCGCACCCACTTCACCATGGTAAGCAAGCGCTGCATTTCTAACGCCGCCCCCCTTCCCCTGCTGTGATCCCGCGGTGTGTGGGCGCCTCACCCTGCCCGCGCACCACGGCGCGATTGTTTTCGACCCCGATTTTTATGAAATGCAAAAACGCTCGCGAAGAAAAACCCGCCGCGAGGCTCGCTCGGTTGGTTGGCCCGGAGCGCCCACGCTTGCTGTAGCGCACAGCAAGCTCGGTGCTCTGGGTCCGCGTGCGATACATAATGCTGCCATATCGCCGACGCCTCGCTTGTTATTCTCTTGCGGGGAAGCATGGCTGCTGCCCAACTTGGAATAGAAACGAACACCCAATGTCCCAATATTCTTGCGTGCGTGTGCGATGCCTGTGTGTACCCTCTCGCGCCGTCCTGGCGTACAACACAATCGCACGAAAGTCGAAATGCGAATGCACGCTATGTACTACGCATATGTACTCGAGCCTCTTTTCGCCCTGGCAGCAAGCGTCACTCCCAAGGACCAGTAAAACATACAGCGAACGCAGGGGGGAGTTCGGACGGCGAGCATCTGATCGATCCTTCTTGGGGACTTGGGCCTCCAGCGCGAGGCAAAGTCTGATTTTCTAAACATATTGCAGCCGAGATTGGTGTGAAATTGTAGGTATACCATCACAGCAGCTCGGCTTTTTCGGATACCCCACTGCACTGCTGTGTAGAAGTATTTCGTACTTGGTGATGTACCACGTATGATCCCACGGAGCGTTCTCGCGCGAAGTCGATGTCCGCACCCGCGGTCGAGATACCCTCGCGTGTCCATTGGGGGGTGGGGATGTTTACTACTGGTATGAAAGCATAACTTCTGTACTGTAACGCTTGCATATCCTAACTGTGTATCCCACCCATCTGGGCTCTACCGAGGGAACAACGTCCCGGGCGTGCCTTGCGGGAAGTGCTCCGTTGTTTTTATCATGCTCATGCTGGATTGCACAACGGTGAGGCTGTTTTGTTCATTCTGTTTTGGAGTACGTACAACATTGGTGAGTCTCGAGTTTTCTTGCTGGGTGTAGGGAGACCAGAAGTACTCCGCGCTTGCTCGCAGCTTTGTGGTGTTGCCGAGCGACTGATTGGTGGTATATGTGTACTCCTATTTATTTACTCTGTAGCCATCCGCCCGGCCCGGGGATTTAAGACCCCTGATGATGCGATTCTGTTTGATTTGTGGGACTTGCCTACCCGTCCCCATCTGTTTGACAACGTGACCGCGCTCCGTCCCCACTGCACCACCGAGGTGAATGATTTGACCATGGGTCATACAATTGGTATCGTCTGGGTCTTCCTCTCCTCGTCCAGTGGCTGCTTCGCTCGCTATCCGCGATGGACCGAACGAATCATGTGCTCTGCAGAATACAGTCAGTCAGACAAGTACACATCTTGCGTGTCGTGTACACGGCCTGAGTACAGTGTGCATATCGATCCACAAATCATTTTCATTTGCTGTTTGTCGGGACAACTGGATACGATACAAGACATCCATCCATTCCCGCGTGCTCCGTGCCTAGCTCCATGTACGCACAGCAGCAGTGGCCTCAGTGGAGGCACGATAAAGCTGCCTCGATGCCACATTGGGGGCAGAACAAATATATAAGCGCTGCCATACGCAGATACTCACGTGCCTACCCCCCTACCGCCGTCCGTTTTGCCACCGTCCGTTCCCTCCCATCCTCGTCTCCTCCTTACTTTGCTTGCCGCCCGTCCTGGGTGTGCAGGCAGGTCGCGGCGGGCGTGGTAGGGGCATGGTCCTACCGGCCTGGATGACCCAAAACAAGGGGGTTCAGCCGGTAGCGGGCGGCCTAGGGTCGGACAAGGCCGTCGCCGCCGGCATGACGGTGCAGGAGCAGCAGCGCGCACCGGGCGGCCTTCAGGATGCGGCCCTCTCTCGGTTCTCGCAGGCGCCACGCGCCCCTGCTGCGACTCCGGCGTCCACGAAGCCGCCCCCTTCGGTGGGAGGGGCTAGACCCGGGGCTCCTCCGGGCGCCCCGCCTGCGGCCCCGCCTGCGGCCCCGCCTGCGGCCCCGCCAAATGCTCCGCCTGGGGCTCCACCAACTGCTCCGCCTGGTGCCCCGCCAACCGCTCCGCCTGGTGCCCCACCTGGGGCTCCGCCCGGGGCGCCACCGAGAGGTGCACCCCCCACGAGGCCACCGGGACGTGCTGGTTTGGGGTTCACCCCGCCGCCTGGCGCTGCCCCGGCTCAGCGTGCGACGTCGAGCTTTAGTTCCCCGCCTGTGAGCCGAGGCGCTCCTCCGCCGGTTTCGGCCCAGCAACCGGCGCCGCAGCAGCAGCAGCAGCGCCACCAACAGCAGCACCAACAGCACCACCACAACCAGGCCGCTCCTATGTACAACATGCCCCCGCAACAGCACCACCCGATGTACCACCACGGCCAGCAGCCCCCGGCCATGGGCGGGGTGCCCCCCATGATGATGGTGCCGCCGTACGGCCGTCCGCCCATGGCGCCCGGGATGGCCCCGCCTCGTTTGGCCCCGCCGCCGGTGGCCCCGGTGGCTCACGGGTGGACGGAGCACAAGGCTCCGGACGGAAGGCCGTACTACTACAACTCCATCACGCGCGTCAGCTCGTACGACAAGCCGGTGGAGCTCAAGACGCCCCAGGAAAAAGCAGCGGCGGCTGCGGCTGCGACGGCTGCGGCGGCTGCGGCCGCCGCTCAGGCTGGTGCGTCCTCCGCCCCTCCGGCCAAGCCGACCACCCCGGTCGTGATCGCCGCCGCCGCCACGGGGCCGACCGTAAAGTCTTCCCCAATCCCGGCGGCGAACCCTGCCACTAGCGCGGCCCCCGCCGTGGTCGCCACGGTCGCCGCTGTCGCCACGGCCACCCCTGCAAACAAGG